CTGAATATGAGCAGTAATAAATCATTGCATTGTGCGTTCATAACAGACATTGCATTCGAGAATTCAGTTGTTTTTGTAGACATAAAGCAACGGAGTCGATCATTGCGCATAACGATCGGTAGAAGACAAATTGTAGATGCAGACATTGAGCCTCAAACTACCAAGATGGGGATAAACTTCATTGTAAGACAACTTTGTCTACCATTCAGGGAGCTGGGAAACGTGGCTCCACTTCTAGACGTAGAGGATTTGCTAAGAACTAAGGTACCGGATTGGAAGTGCATCTTCACGCAAATCCAGCTCTACTACCGTCGGTTCCAGTTGGAACAGGGCACCAAGGCCAACAAACCTCCAGTAGGACTCCATCCCTCTGCTCCTCCACCCGCCCCTGAAGGCAGCTCTGCTTGATCACCTCTGTTGTCTCTCCCTTCGCACCGCTTACCTCCCGTTAACAGCCTCTGCTTTTACCTTTCCTCCTCCTTTTGATCACAACCAATCTTCTCCAAAGGTTCATTACTTACATAAAAGAATACTAGAATTTGACTCTCTTTGGGAATGAAAACAGAAAGCAGAAATAGTTATTTTAAGAGAGACGTAAATTCCTTCCCCCTCTCCGAAAATTAATCTGAATGAACTACATTTGATAGGTGAATAAGAGTTAAACTTGTTAATGGACAGACAATATGCAGACCATGAATTGTATCCAAAGTAAGATAGCAGCAACAAAATAGTTCAATTGAGAGCCAAGTCAAAATGAGTTTGTATTAATTTCTACAAACGAAGTGAAATGTAAAAAAGCACTAAGTACAGCCTCATCTCTTAGCCAATTGAGAGGTGTACCAATTTTGGTGTGATAGAAAGAAAAGTCTAGCGGCACAAAACCTTGTAAACGGTAAACGAACCCGACCAACTATTCTGGTAGGGGACTGAAGAAATCATAAACCAGAAAGCTCTCAATAGTTGAAGGAATGGATAGCTTTACAAATAATTACTTTTTACCTCCCATAATAACTGTAGACATAGAATTAGCCACTGACAGCACAATGAACAGATAG